CCACCCACCCCACCCTGCCTGGGCACCCCGGGCCTCTGCCTCCTTCCTGCCCTGTGTCCTCTGTCTCAGCCCTGCTTGGGGACCCCGCCTGGCCCTGGGTCCAGCTGGACTCCCATTGGATCCTCACACCCATCCTGCAAAATGGATCCCATTATCATCCCCACCGTCTAGGGGCAAAACGGTGGATGAGAGGCAGGGCGGGGAGGGCCACTGAGCCAGCGAGAGCCCCCCACAGCCCAGCCCCTGGCTCGGAGTCTGGAGCCCGAGCTGGTACCTACAGGCCGTGGGGACTGGACGCTGCTTCTCGCTCTTGAGGCCAGATTCAGGTGGCCACGGCAGGCAGACACCTTCCTGACCCAGGGCTGGGCTTGCCTGCGCCTGCCCCCGGCCCGCTCTAGCCTGGGTGGGGGCTGTGGAGGTGACCTGTGCAGGTGACCCTTTCGGCTTCCCACCCCCTGAACCCCGCCTGCCCCTGGGCGCCCCCCCTCCACTCACTGAGATGGGATCGCAGCCTTGCAGAGGGGGTCGTGACCACCTGTCCGCTGTCCCCCGGGGCCCATGCCCCCAGCACCGCCCTCCGCGCACCCGCTCGGGGCGGCGCCCACCTGTGGCAGGGCTGTAGCACTGCAGGGCCAGCGCGTTGTACTTGCAGGCGCTGGAGCCCACCAGGTAGAGCCGGCCCCGGCAGCCGGCCGCCGCGAAGTTGCTGACGTACTTGAGGGCCGGGCTGAGCGGCGTCCAGCTGTCCGTGTAGGGGTCGTAGCTCTCCACCTCCACCACGTCCTGGGTGGTGCCTGCGGGGGGCGGGGGGCGGGGTCAGGGCTGCGGGGGCGCGGCCACCTGCAGGAGCCACCCTGGGCGCCCCGGGGGGAGAAGGGAGTGGGGGGCACGTTGCCCCCGCCTCAGCGGAAGCCGAGGTTCTGAGAGGCGAGGGCGCCGGCCCGGGGCGGGGCCTCGGACCCGCGGTCCGGACTCTGGAGCGGCCACGGGCCCCACGGTGAAGCCCCGCCCCTCCCGACGCCCCAGCGCCGCGGGGGCACTGGCGGGGTGCCGCGGGAGCCCCAGGAGGCCAGCGGGAGCCGTCCCCTGGGGTGAAGGGAGTCAGTCCTGGGGGAGCTGCAGGCAGCCCCAGGCGGAGCCCGGGTGTGGTGACCGTGGGGGGACCTGCCAGGGGCACGCCTGCGCCCCTGAGTGCCCTGGGCTCAGGACCTGTGGGTTCCCTCCGCAGCCACTGAGAGGAAAGGGGCCGGCTAGGACGGGGGTGGGGGCAATTACGAGTGGCCTCAGGGCAGCTCGTTGCCCACGGAGGCCTTGGGAAGCTCGTGCTCAGCCCAGGCAGCCGCTTTTTAACATCAATCCAGCCGCGAGTGCTCCCGGAGCGACTCCGTGCCGTGGCTATGGGGTGAAGGGGTTAAGTGGGCCCAACCTGGGGTGTGGTGGGGGCAAGGCGAGAGCCAAGGGGCCCACGGCTGGTCCCCTCACCCCGGGACTTCACCGAGGAGGGCACCCCGAGCTGAGGCCAGAGGCTCTGGGACGCAAGTGGTCATCTCCACCGGCAGTTCGAGGCCCCAGCTCCTCACGGGTCTCCTGGGGACTGACACTGTCCTGTTCTCAGTGTCCCCGGAGTGCATTAGAGTCACCTGGAGCTGGCTGCCCGAGCTCCGGCTGCCCGAGCCTCACAGGACATCCAGGGAGCAGGTGGCACAGCCCAGGTGTGGGGACGCCCAGCCTGGCCGGGAACCCTCAACCCCGGCAGTGAGCTCCCGAGGCCAGCACGCGGCCTTGGGGCCACTGCTGCAGGACCGAGAGGCCCCAGGAGGCAGAGAGCTGGGGAGGGGACTCAGACGAGCGGAAGGTGGCCCCGGAGGGGGTGCCGAGGGGGCCTCACCGCCGACGGCGTAGACCTCTCCGTTGAGCGCTGTGCTGGCGTGGTTCGTACGGGCCTTCAGCATGGGCGCCACCGGCCTCCAGGCCGCCTCCTTCAGCGGGAAGCACCAGGTCTGGGTGGTTGACCAGGTGTCAGCCTTGGTGCCCCGAGAGCCACCTGCCGAAAGGGTTCTGTCCACTCGGGCACCCACCAGCCTGGGGTCTCTGGCCGGTGGGGAGTGGGCACGAAGGGCCCTCCCCACACACCGCCTCCGAGCTCCGGACACGGGCCGGGTGGGCTGTGCTGGCATGGTAGGTCCCTCCATGCCACTAAACCAGGGGCGAAACCCCCCTGTGGGAGGTGTTTCCCAGCCGAACCTGACAAGGGCCCCCAACTTCTGAGACGAAGGAGGGCGGTGACCCCTCCCCAGCAGCACAGGGCCCTGGCCGCAGGAGCTCACGCGGCAGCGAGGTCATCGGAGCCGTGGCAGTCAAGCCACGTGTGTGGCTGGTCCCCGAGGGGTTCACAGCTGTTTCACACCACAGAGAGCTCCAGAAGGGTCTTGACAGAGCCGTCAGGTCCCACTGAGTGAGGGGCGGCTGGCCCCGCTGATGTGTGGGTGTCCGGACAGCTGCTGGTTGATGCGCTACAGCAGCCCGGGGGGGTGGCCTGCAGGCCTCACCTGTGACGTAGACGCTGCTGTTCAGAGCGGCCAGCGAGAAGCCCCACTTGTCGTGGTCGGGGAAGTCTGGGAGCGCCGTCCACCGCTCTGGCGGGGAGAGGGGGGTCAGCGCAGAGCTCGCTACTGGGCTCCCCCCACCCCAGTGCCTCTTCTCCTGGGTGGCTGCTGTCCCTTCGCCAGTGGAAGGGGAGGGTGGGGACTCAGCCGCCGCAGGGCTGGGGGCGGCCCCCTGGGGCAGGGTCAGAGGCGGCCCTGGGTGCCCTGCACACACTGCTGTCCCCGCTCCCGGCACGATGCCCCTCAGAGCCGGCACCCAGACTGGACACAGGATCACCCCAGGGTGACTGAGAGGACGCCCAGGCCTGGAGGCTGCTCCCCGCACCCCCGACCTGTCATCGGCCCCGTGCTTCCGAAATGGGTCATTGGTCCCACTTCGGTCAGAGGGGGTGACAGGCTAAGGAGCCTGATCTCTAGTCACAGTGGGCTACATGGAGCCGTCTGCCATTCGCTCCTGCCTCCTGCGTTCATTTCCCCCGAGCACCTTCTGTGCCCACGTGAGGCCAGGAGTGCAGCGGGCGGGTGGGCCACACCCAGCTCCCCCACACCACGCCGGCCGCGTGGCCTCCGACGAGCCCCAGCCTGAGGGACAGGGATCATTCCCACCACCCAGGGAGGTGTGAGGACCATGCGACATGACGTGGGTCTGTCACACAGCAACGGCTCCGCCAGAGGTGGCTTCTAGGACAGAAGGGCGCACCCAAGCCAGACTCGCCCTCACGGAGCTACGTGAGGTCAGCTGAGGCGAGAGATGAGAAAATGCTTTGGGAAGATCAAAACGAGATGACAAACGTGGGAAGATTTAAGCCCTGCGGGGGACACATGGGGCATTTGTGGCAGAGACTCGGCCTCGGGGTGTCTCTCGGGAGCACTCTGTTTACTTCGATGACAGTTTTCAGGACACGCAGAACTCAGGGCCTCGTTGGGCAGAACTGCGTGTCTCCCTGACTCATGTCTGTGTCACCCCAGAGTGGAGATTGCCCAGCAGCCACCAGGGCCTTGCCTGCCAGCGCCCCCCTGCCGCCGTCCCAGCGGGCTCCGAGGGACAGCTGGCTCCGGGTGGAGCCAGCCAAGCTCGTCCCCTGACGTCAGCCCCCAAATCCCCTCTCGTCAGGCCCTGACTGGGACAGTGGCCCTGAGCCCACGAGCCACCGATGCCATGTGGACGGCTGGCGACCTGCCTAGCGGCCCCAGGACACAGGCCAGCCTGCATCGGTGCTGTGCGGGGCCAACATGGCCCTCACAGAGCCCCGCTGCCCACTCAGACCCCTCCTTTTCCCATGAGGGGCTCAGGCAGGGGAGACACCCCCAAACCACAGGCCTGGCCCTGCGCCCGCTGGCTCCTCGTCTCAGCTGTGCCAGGAGCCCATCTCACAGATAGGACACGGAGGCCCAGGGGCTGACGTGGCCCGCTTAAAGGCTGGGATTAGAATCTCGTTGGGGCTGACTCAGAACCCGAGCTGTCGCCCCCCCGGGCTGCCTGCACGCCAGCCTGGGCCATGGTCCCCCAGCTGCACAGGGCAGGAGCACCAAGAGGGAGCAGCCAGCCAGGACCCCGATCCACGTGGTGCAGGCTGGCCATGGAACTCTTTACAGGGACCTGGGAGCTTAAAGACCAAACTGCAGGCTGTGGCTGGAGGGGGAGGGGCTGCGGTGCCCCCGCTCTGAGCCCCGCTTTCCGCCACCTGCAGCCCCGGGAGGCCCAGGCACCCCAGGAATGACCCCGTTCTCCATGCACCTCACTCCCTCCACCTGCACGGGAGACACGGGGGCTCGTCAGGACGCAGGGACAGGGGCCCGAGCTTGGACGCAGCGAGTACTCACTGGCTCTGGTGTCGTAGAAGGCGAAGTTCCCGGGGTGGGGGACGGGCCCCTCGGTGGCCTCCTCGTCCTCTAGCGCCCGCCCGCCCACCACCACCAGAACCTCCTCCAGCTCCCGCGGCTCGGCCGGCGGAACCTGTGGGCCAGGAGGGCTGGAGTCAGAGGGACAGGCCAACGACTGTGTCCCCACGCCCAGGGCCTGGGCGCTGGCAGGCCTTGACGGCGTTTTCTGAGGCAGGCAGTGACTTGGGCGATTGGGGTCAGCTGTGGGTGGCTCCCCGAGTGTGCCTCTGGGTCTGTGCACACATGCGGGGTGCGGCGTCAGTATGCACACATGTGTGCACCTGCCCGCGGGTGTGTGCGCACATGTGCTGACCGCGGCAAAGCTCAGAACCAGGAGAGGTGACTGCAGGTCCCTGTGCGCACACCCCAAGGGTGAGCCGCCCTCCCCCCAGCAGGCGCCCCCGCCTTTGGGACCGAGCCCAAGGTGCTACCCCCAGGTCCTCACAGAGCCTCGCCCTGCGCCCTGGTGGCCCTGCTCTCCTGGGCCAGCATGTGGCATGCGAACCAGGATGGCCCTGTCTGGCAGGAAATGCAGAACAGTTCCACCTGGGTGGCAAGTAGCCAGGGTCAGAGCTGCCGTGACGTGGGGGTCCCACCGCCTGCCACCTCCAGCGATTACAAAGTGACCGCCTATCGTGGCAGGTCCCCAGTCAGCTCCATCATGGGTCTAGCCCTTTGTCACCGGTGGTGTAAGGGTTAGGATTTAGCCACCACGCACCCCGCCCCTGGCCTGAGCTGCGTCTTTGTCCCCAGACTTGGCTCCTGAGACGTCCTTTGGAGCAAGGCCCTGAGCAGGCCGGCCGGCGGCAAGCGCACTTGCTGGCTCCTCGTCTCGGCCACACCCTGGCCTGTCACTTCATCAGGACCTGCTTTGCCTGCCAGGCCCACTGCCAGCCCAAATAGGAAACTGCACCCCATAATCGCTTGAGCAGCTTCCCAAGGGGCAGGTGGTGGCCGGCTACCACGCCTGTCTGTGCTTCTTGCCATCTTCCCTGATTGTTTTCCCTCCTGCTGAGCTCCCGTCCCTCCCCTGAGGCCCAGCTTAGATGCTGCCTCCTCCGGAGAGCCCTCCCTGACTGCCCGCCCCTCTGAGGACGCCCCCAGCCCAGTGCCGGCCTTTCTTCAGAGCGGGGGTCCAACGTGATCTCTCTGGGTCGCCGTTCCCCTCACGTTTGGCACACATAGGCACACACTCTGGACTTAGGAGTGAATGGTGCCCTCCCCATCCTCGTGCAGGTGGAGTCTCTGAGGGTCCCCTCTCTTCTCTGCCCCCCACACTCACCCTGTTGTGACCCTGGGACAGAGCCGCCCGACACGCCTCCGACTCCAGGATCAGTGGCTCTGTGGCCAGCAGCTGCTGCACGCAGGGCCTGGGCACGGCACCCAGGTGCACCAGGCCGAGCAGCCGGGGCAGGTGGGCGGCCCGGGCCTGCGGGTCGTGGCGTGCCCAGCGGAGCAGGGCCTCCAGCCGGCTTTGCTCCGGCTGCACCTGCAGCAGGTCGCTGGCCAGACAGGTGGCCAGCCGGTCTTGGGACAGCTGCAGGAACTCCTCCTCCTGGGCCACGGCCTCGAAGTTCTCCCGCAGGAAGGCCCAGGCCTTTGCGGCCACTCCCAGCAGCCCCTGCCGCTCCCCGAATTCGCAGATGCCCAGGCAGTTGCTGGCGTCCAGCTGCTGCTGCAGGTAGCGGCCGCAGACTTTCTGCACGGCGGGGAAGTGCAGACGCGCGGCCGTGCGTGTCAGCGCCTCCACGTTGGCCTGCGTGACGGTCAGCCGGCCCGTGTACACGAAGTCCAGCAGCTGGCCCACCACGGCGGCCTCCACGTCCTGCAGCTCCACGCGTGCCGAGAAGCTCTCGGCAAAGTCCCCGGCAAACATGGCCTGGAAGTAGGGGCTGCTGAGCGCCAGGAGGCCACGGTGGCAGGGCAGCTCCCGGCCGCCCACCAGCAGCGTGACGTCGGCCAGCTTGGGCTGTGAGCGCAGCCGCTGCAGCCCGTCCAGCATGTCCTGGGCGTGCGAGGGCAGGTGGAAGTCCAGGTCGTCCACGTTCCGCACCATGATGGCCTCGCCGGCACCGCCCAGTCCCGGGGGAAGGAGCTCCTGGGGCGAGAGGAGAGAGGGTCAGCGGGGTGGGGGTCCCCACCACCTGTCCTTCCCTCCCCTCAACACGCCTTGTCCTTGACCCAGCAGCTCCTGGCCCAGCCCCGGAGCCTGAGAGGCGCACGCGTCATTCACTTTACAGTGGGGAGGCTGAAGCTCAGGGGGCGGGGGGCAGGGGAGGCCTGTCCACAGCCAGGCACACAAAGCCAGATAGGGCCAGCAAGAGAACCCAGGCCCGGGGCCCTTCCGCAGCTCCGGGCCACACAGAACAGTCCCCTGGAGCGTGGAGGGCCCTCTGCTCCCCAAGCCTCCTGCTGGCTTCCTCTGCTCCCAGACCCGCCATTGCTGGCAAAGGTGTAGGGGTGCTGGCGAATTCTCGCCCCACTGACTCTCGCTGTCCGTGCAGCACCGGCGCACGTCTGAGCCTTGCCTGGCCATGACCTTGCCGGGTGCCTTGAGGGTGCCATGTCCCTCTTGGGTCCCAGCTTCTGCATCTGTAGATGGAGAAGCTGGCTGTGGGATCTCGCCCCGTGCAGCAGCCCCCCACTTCCTGCACGCCCGGCTATGTCCCAGGGGTGGCTCATCCCAGGGATGGCTCATGCACTCAGCACTCGGCCCTAACGACAGCCCTCTGAGAAGCATGCCATTGCTATTCCTTTTACAGGTGGGGAAACCGAGGCACGAAAGGCTCAAGTCACTCATCCAAGATCACGGAGCAGGAAGTGGGGGAGTCAGGCTCCGGGCCCCGCCCCCAGGTCCCCGCTGCCGGGCGTAGGTTGGCAAAGACAAGCCCGGGGGAGCTTTCTGGAGACCGACTTCACGCCCCAGTGTCCAAGCCGTCTGGTCAGCAAACCCACCTCTGGGCTGATTCAGTCACGCGCATGCTCATTTATGAGCTTCCGGTATTGCGCCCTAAGACAGCCCCCGAGGAAGCCAAGGTCTGCACGGGAGGGACCCACACAGCAAACATTGCACCCCGGAAACGGTCTGTCCACCAGGGGGAGCCTTCCTGTGAGCTCCTGCTGCTGAGGGGTGGGGCAGGAGCTGAGCACAGTGGCGAGCTGGAGCCCCCTGCCCTCCTCCCTCCTCCCCCTCCCCCTCCCAGTGGGCCCTGGCCGGCATCCATCCGGCCTGACAACCTCCTGGAGGCCCTCTGGCCGGTAAAGGGTAAAGGCAGCTCTGCCGCCCTGAGGGGGACAGGAAATTAGCCGGTGGCCACGCCCCAGGCCTGGCGTTCCCATCATTGTTCTGGTCCCTTTGGCCAGCTGCTACCATGACAGGGACCAGGGCAGGGGTGCCCAACCACCCTCCCATGGGGCCTCAGAGCTGTCTGCTGACACCTGCCGCTCTGCAGTCCCAGCGCAGGGCGGGGACTCCTGGAGGGTCCCAGAGCCTCGACCTGGTGCCTGTGGGGGCTGGGAGTACAAGGTCTGAGCGGGCAGGATGGCACGGGAAGGGCCTTAAGCAAGCTCCGGCCGGTGGCTGGACACTGTGGTCCTGGCTGCAGTCGGGGTGTGGTCTAGCCTCCCCTCTGTCCGCCTCTGCAGCCAGGACACAGAAGGAAGCGTGCCCACCAAACTCCCAGCCCACCCTGAGGGGCCTGGCTTGACCAGGGCCCGGGGCCTCTCTCCCAAGCAAGGAGCGCTGTGATCCCAAGCCCACCAGCAGTCACGCCGTAACCCCTCCCCCCAAGTCCTCACCTCTCCCGCCCGCCCGGGCCCTACCTCTCAGACGGCCCCTGGATCCCGTTGCCGAGGACTCGGGCCCGACAACAGGACTGCCACCAGGCCGAGGGGCACCGAGGGCCTGCTGGGCTGGGCTGGGTGGCCACGTGGGGACGAGAGGGTATTTTTAGCCTCTTTCTACATCGGGAGGGAGGGCCGGAGGAGAGGGCCAGCGGGGGAAGGAGATTGGCGCTGTCTCCTCCTGGGCTGTCCACTCTGAAGCCCACGTGGGCCACATCTTGTGGCACTGGGCTGGCTGGCGCAGGGGTGCAGCTCCCTCTTCTGCTTCCTTATGTGCAAGAGGGGACAGTGGAGCCTGTGCTGGGGACCCAGGAGGGCACACAGAGGCCCCAGCCCAGGCCCTGGCATCACGAGGGCCCAACAGGCCCCAGTTTCTCTATGGTGACTGACCAGCACCCGGGTGGCCTCTCGTTCTGCCCAGTGTGAAAAGTGACAGTCATGAAGAAATGGGGTCAGCAAAGGGTTCCCAAACGGGTTCCATGGAGGCAGCAGAGCAGTCTTTGGTGGTTAAGTGGTGCCCGGAGCGGCGAGGAGGCCTCCCGGAGTGCCCACCAGGCTGGTGACAGGGCGTAGGATCCTGGGGCCCTGTCCCATCGTGTCGTGGCCCTGGCTTCGGGGCTGCCCTGGTGTCTTCACTAGTTGTGAGAGCCAAAGATGGCCAAGAAACGGGGTCATCTAAAAATATGGCAGCAGCGCTCTCGGCCCCGCCCACCCCGGCCAGCGCCCGTCTGGGCCCCGCCTGCAGCACCGGTGCCCGTCTGGGCCTCCCCTGGGCTCTGCATCCTGGATGCTGGGAGGCGTCTCTGGACACGTCCCATGCCATTGGTCAGGGCAAAGCTACCCAGTCGCAGGCCTGCAGGTACGCAGGAGAGCAGATCCTGGGGTGGCCAGGTGGAGGCCTCTACCCGTCAGGCCTTCCTTTCTTTCCCCAGGCAGGCCTTATAAAAACATTTCTAGGCATGTGGGGACGTGGGAGCTTCAGGGAGGGCCAAGTCTGATGGGGTCCCCCCGATGCCCACATGAGACTGGCTTGATGCTCTTGTGGTGCCGAGAGGCCCAGGTGGCTCCCAGAGTGACAGCCCTCACTCCTGGCGAAGCTAAGTAATTTCTCAAAGGTAACAGGGTAACATGACAGCTTGGGTGGGGACAGATGGCATCGGCCCGCAGCACAGCCGCCGGCCCTGCTACCTGCTGAGAAGGTGGTAGTGAGCTGGGAACCACGTGACGTGCGCAGTCTAGTTGAGGGCACGGCTGTCGCACAATTGCGCCTACGATTGATTAGATAATTCCACGTTCCCAGGGGCTTCCGCACTCCACGCGCTGCCCGGAGCCTGGGTTCCATGCTTCCTGCCCACCCTCGGCCCTGCCTCTGCCCCAGACAGACCCAGGGCTTTCCCGCTAGCCCCGCAGCAGCCTCGTGTGGGGTGAGGAGATGCTCATGAAAGTCCCCAGTTCTCACTGCACCCAGAACTCTCACAGGGAGGTCTTGTCCCCGGCCCCCTCCACCTCCGTGTGCAGGAGGAACATGAAGGGTCAGCGTGTTGCTGACACAGGCTGGGGGAAATGAGGACAGGGGCGCCGCTGTCACTGTCACCGGGAGCTGCCTCGCTCAGCACAGAGGAGAGGCCTTCCAGGGACACGGGATCAGGCCGGCACCTCGCATGACAGGTCCCTTTGGGAAACTCAATACCAGGGGCTCAGAACAGGCCCTCATTGGCAGGCCACGCCTGAGTGGCAGCTTTAAAAATACGTGACTCGTTTCTTTTCATGACAACCACATGACACATGCCTGCTGTGGAAAACTCGGACGACACAGAAAAACAGCAAAAAACGCGAGCGGTCAGACAGTCGCCGCTCACACCCTGCTCCCTCCGCTCCGCCTCTGCTTCCAGGCTCGGATGGATGGCTGCCGGATGTCTGTGTCCTGCTTTGTCACTTACACCGTACGACGGGCACTTCTGACCTGATTGGCCTTCGAAAATATGATTTTAAATTTCATCCTGATAGGGCTTCACACCTTAAGGAGTCGGAAGTGACATCCAGGCACTTCTCTTACCCTGCTCCCTCCGCTCCGCCTCTGCTTCCAGGCTTGGATGGATGGCTGCCGGACGTCTGTGTCCTGCTTTGTCACTTACACTGTACCACAGGCACTTCTGACGTGACTGGCCTTCGAAAACACGATTTTAAATTTCATCCTGATAGGGCTCCATCACACCTTAAGGAGGTGGAAGTGACATCCAGGCACTTCTATGAACAGACGTTCGGGTCGCGTGCCATTGTGGATGATGCTAATCTGGCGTCACCTCTGTGATCACTTCCTGGAGCAGATTCGGCGTGAAATTGCCAAGTGAGGTGTGTTCGTGTTTACAGACTGACGCGCAGACCAGGGGGTTGGCTGGGCGAGGGATGCACTGTCCCCAGCAGGCAGCAAAACTGTCCCCTTCACGCTGTGAGGCCCCCAGCACAGCCAGGCCCGCCCACCTCACCTCCTCTCAGATGGCCTCGTGGCCTTACTTGCTCACAGTATGTCTTATTCTATCTGGGGTTTATTTGGGGTACGAGGTGCCATAAGGTCGTCTTTTTTTTTTTTTTTTTTCTGAAATACTTCGCCAGTCCCCTTGGGACTCTGCGGGACAGTCCCTCCCCGCCCAGACTTGCTGTGGCATGTTTTCGGGGCGGGGCGTCTCAGCTCTCTCTCTCTGGCAGGCCGACGCGAGGCGCCGGGTCCTGGGGTCGGAACCACCTCGTTGTCGGACGTGACGACCTCTCCGCACCCGGAAGACGAGCCTCTTCATTCTCTGGCGTCGTCTGTCCTGGGTCAGGGGCTGCTGCGGCGCAGCAGATGTCCCCGCGGCCCCGGGTCCTGTCCTGACACGACAGACATCGTCCTCTCACTCGGTTCCCGGGGCCGCCTTCTTGGGGGGGCTCTGGCTGGGACCTGTCCTTAGGGACCGCACTGCCCTGAAGCTGGGCGGGCAGCTGCACGGGGCTGCTCCCAGCTCTGTGGCCGCTGCCCCAGAGCCTCTGCGAGCAGGTCTCACTGCCCACCTGGACGTGATGCCTGTCACTTCCGTGGCTCGTGGCTGGGGCCACGTCAGAAGCACGTAGTACGAGGCAGGGGTCACCAGGGGCCTTGCTGGAGGCTGGCCTCCACGCTGGCTTGGTTTATTGTTTCTTTCAAATGAACTCTAGTCGTTAACAAGGAGAGAGGGTGCGACTCTGCCTTAAACCTGCGTGCCGG